AGCAACAGTTCTGGGAGGAGCCCTCAACTTGATCCCAGGAGGTACAATATAAACAAACTATGAATGTGAAAAATATACAGAACATGGGTGAATAGGGCTGGAGACATGGCTCAGAGGGTAAGGGTACCTTTTCCTCTTGCATAGCACCAAGTTTTATTCCCAGCACCACAAGCCAGCTCACAACCCTCTGTGACTCCAGTTCCAGGGATCTGACCGCCTCTTCTGGCCTCTGATGCTGCAGGCACTCATGAATTGCACAGACATACACGGAGGCAAACAGCAGTCATACGTACAAAAATAAAAATCAATAAATCATTAAAACATGATACCCCGGGCGTTTGCTAAACGTAAGAAAGTATGCATATGCCCTTGCCTAAGATGTTGGTGCAGTTGAGCAATCCTGTGTCCATGTTGTTCGTAAGTAAACACAGTGGTTGATGTAGGAAGTGATAGACGCACACGTTTACATTCACTGTGGGAAAATCAATTTCTTAAGAGGAGAAAACGTGAGGAGCGGAGATGGGAATACAAAGCCACTTTTTGGAGCACATGAGCATGTGACGTGTGGAGGAAGAGCAGCACAAGAAGATGGGGGAACGCAGGAGGCAGCTGTGCTCTGCAGAGTCCTTGCTAATGAGAGGACCACACGGTTAGAGGAAGGCTGTTGGGAGTGCTCCTGCTCAAAGCTATCACAATCCTGAAGAAAACGGGTGTCTGGGGCACAGAAAGGGGTGCAAGCCACGGGAGAGGGGAAGCAGCACCACCTGACCAACTTAGCAGGAAGGCTTGTCAACAAAGAGCAGCACACTTGAGAAAGAACAGATGACGGAGAGGGGGTCTTATATAAAACTGAGTTGCATAAAACACAGAGTTGCATGTGGATGGAACAAACCACACGGCATGAAGCAAAGTGGAAAGGTGCGAGAGTACAGAGACTGCGCCCTAACGTTAACATTTGGAAGCATTAAAGAGATTAGGGACACTAGGAGAGCCGCTGTGTTAAAGGTACAACCCTACTTAAAAAGAAATACCGACAACCCACATTTTTATATCTGGTTACGGTGAGGAGGAAGGTTTAGTCGAACCAGAGATGCATAGAGATCAGGACTGAGGTTCGAACCCCCGAGATCTAGAATGATGAATACACGGTAATGTGGAGGGGCAGGATGGATGAAGACCTGCGTTCATTGAGGATAATTCTAGATCCTGGATGCACGTGTTTCTGTCCCTCTGAGTCCAGATTCTTAGACCTGGAGGAAGGTGAGGGTGGATGGCTTGTTGAGAGAGACAAGAGAGAAGGGTGCTACAGGACAGTCAGCTGTTGGGGTTGTCTTTCTCCTCAGCAGAGGGAGGAAGGGGAACTTTTCAGGAAGGAGCAGGGAAGCTGTGCTCCTGGAATGACTTCAGATGGAGTCCCACAGAGGACTACCACTCTTGTAGTGCACAGAGGATGGTGCTTGTTCTTGGCCTCCGGGAACACACACAAAGCAATCGCTTCCTGGCCGTTGTGGTGCACACTTGAATCCTCCTGGTCCCTTCCCACGGTTTGCTGAGCTCTGTTACACACACAGAGCATGAGCTCTTGGGAGTGCTGTGTATATTTTGGGGGGTGGAGGGGTGTTGAGAAGCAGCAGAGACAAGGTGAGCTTTACCTTCCTGAAGGGCCATTCCTCTCTGGGGTCGTCTCCAAAGGAAACAGGCATCTGGAGTCCCTCGGTGGCTGTGAAACATGGAGGACTCACTGGCACATGGGACCTCAGGAGTGCAGAGGATGGATGCAAACACTCCTTGTCAATACTGACTGAATGCCTCCCAAGGACCCTGGAGGCCAGGAAGGTGGGAAACCTTCATGTGGTTCCCTCGAATGAAGGGCACGGCCATGAATTGAGGTGGCTCATCTCGGGTGGGGGTGAGTTTCTTGACCTTTAGCATCCAAGACGATCCAGGCCAGGGGAAGTGCCTGGTGGGCAGTTGAAAACCAGGAAAGGACAGAGTGGCTGGGCAGATGGATGTCCGGACAGGCACCCGAATAATGAGAGTGAAGGGAAGAGAAAGTGGGGGCTTGGCCCTGCTTTTGTGCTGTGCTTTGTGACAAATTCATGCTGTCAGGCCTCTCATGCTGACCTGGCTCTGGAATGGTGCAAGAAGACAAAGGTCAACCTTGTCTCCTCAGGAGAGCGGGGCGGGGGGAGCAGGAGGGGCGGGGGGGGGGAGAGCTGAAGGGCAGGCCGAAGCAGTTGATGTGTTTTCTACAAGCAGGAAACTGGGCAGTAGCCCCCCTGGAGTCTGTCTCTTTAAAGCCCAGTAGACTAGGAGCTGGCAGCAAGTGAGAGCCTTCCAGGCTGATCCCCTCATCTGGACATAAGGTCTCTCAGGTCACAAAGCAGAAGAGAGACACCTCTCCTGTCCCTTATGGCTCCACTGGTGAGGATTGAAGTGCACCTCTGGGAGCAAAACGCTGAAGCCAGGCCGGGATGGGGGGTTTTGTCCCAAAATTGACTGGAAACCCAAACAATATGACAAAGGGGAGAGCGTGTGGAAAGGGGGGAGCAGCTAGAGAGTGGCAAGACGACTAGGTGTGACGCTCATCGTTCGGGGGTACAAAGCCCTGTTGGTGAGGGGGAGGCAGGGACCAGGTCTGCAAAGCATCCTGCTGCAGCATGTGGGTGTAGACATTCACCTCAGAGCTCTGTACCTTCTTATCTGCCCCCACCAAGCAGCGATGGGAGGGCAGGGTGGAATTGCGAAAGGTCCCATTTTCCCCGTAATAGAGGCTTGTGTACTGCAGAGGAGAAGAGAACACAAGCACTTCTCTGCTTCCTTTTGTCTCATATTTAGTCCCTAGATCATGAGCCTCAGTTGCCATGGGAACTGAAGCTGAGTGTGTGATGCATTCACTGGGCTGTGGGAGAAAAGCGGAGCTGGTCCTTGAAATAAAGCCCTCTGGGAATAGAGATTTTAGCAAAGTGTTCCCGTTAAAAGAATTAGTAATTTCTAGAAATATATCGATCTCTGGGACTCACAACAGATAGGAGGAGTGGAGGGCAGGAGAACAGGAGGGTGGGAGGGGGGAGGGAGGGAAGTAGGGGAGATGGGAGAGAGGAGAGACAGGAAGAGGGATAATGGGAAGGAGGGAGGGAGGGACACACACAGGGAGACAGAGCTAGAGAGAGGGGGAGACAGAGAGAGAGAGGGAGAGAGAGAGGGGGGAGAGAGAGAGCTAGCCCCCTACCTAGGATGTATCTTTGTGGTGTATCACACTGATGCTGCCTAGAACACTGGATTCTAGTGGTGAGGCTGCCATGAAATGGGGAATTTAATTAGAATCAAGACTGTCAGGGGTCCCCCGAAACTTGCTGTTTTGAACCTCATTGGCAGAGGAAGCGAGGAACAGGTCTAGCCAAGACATGGGTCAAGTGTCCTGTTAACAGGCATGGCAAGCTGTAATGTGACACACAGGACAGGGAATGAGGCATCTTGTGCCCCTTCCCCTTGGCCTCCCTCTCTGCTTTCAGAGGGTCTTCACATGGAGACCCAGGCTGCCCCTCAGATGGAAAGTCTCCTGTGATTCATCAGTAGCAAAAGGAAAATTCAACCCATAGTCCAAGAGGAAATCTCTGCAACACAAACACTGGCAATCCAACAGTAAATGGGCAAAGCCATTTGAACCCGTCTCCATGGCAACCCGAGAAAAGATGTACATGGGGCCTGGAGAGGAGGCTGGGGTCAAGTTCACTGAGGCATTGCCAGAGCTGGGTCAGTGATCTCTGGCAGGCCATGCTCTCCTCTGCCTTGGGTTTCTCCTTTCAGTCAGGATGTCAGGCAGGAGCAGACAGCATGGGGGAGAAGGAAATGTAATTAGACGTGTGCTTAGGTAGATGGGGTGAGGGTCGGAGTGAAGACAGAGTGTGGTGTGTGGGCGGGAGGTCTTGCCTGATGGCCCCCCTGGGTTCCTCCATGGTATCAAAGACACGCTGCCAGGTCCACGGCAGGCATCGTGTCCTCAGAGGGCTCTAGCTTTCAGTCCCTATACTGCTACCTCCTGGCTACCTCAGTCTGAGTGGCCTCCATCTTGGGCCCTCTGATTCCTCATCTACAGGATGGGTAAAATAGATCACCACCCCCCTCTGCAGTGCAAATAAATGAAGCCATAGGCCAAACAATAAATTGCATACGAATGGCCAAGTAAAGGTTCTCCATAGCCAGCGAGCACTGGAAACCTGTGAATCCACACTTTTTCCTACTATTAAAAGTGGAGGAGGGGTCAGAGCGATCAGCCAGGGTGGAGGAAGAAGCTGTGTGGGAGCAGTCAAACATCATAGGTACTGCCGCCTCAGACCTGGCACATGCAGAGGTCTGAGAAATCACCTGCCAATCAGAACCCGATGCCACTGTGGTGGCTGTGTGGGTAAGAGCAGCAGGTGGGTGGGAGCCCTCTGTCTCCTGTTGATGATGAGTGTGAGGAGCTGAGGCCTCCAGGTGGCCTGTCTGGCCATCCTCTGGGACACACTGGCTTAGTCAGGGTTTCTATTTCTGTCCTAAACGCCATGAGCA